AGGGAGGAAGGAGATGCTCTGTCTGTCCTTATCATGACTTATATTTTGACGAAATGAATGAATGTTCTTAGACCATTTAAAGTTGACTCCTGATTATAGAGAAATTTTAACTTGCACATCTTGCTTGAAAATCTGATAAAGTCTGTAATAAGTGAAGGATCATTTAGAAGGGAATCAAGAAGAAAGAACAAGCCATGATTGGTAAGGTGCAAGTTAGAAATTAAACAGAGAATGATATTGAAGGAAAATGTAAGCAGATCTTTAAGCATATTAGAACTAGAAAGGACTTGAGAAAATTGTGGTTCATCTGGACTGTCAGAAAAAAAAAAGCTTGGAGAAGGAAAGGGCAGTGCAACAAATCTAGGTTGTTTATTTGCAGGAATCTCAATCGCAAATTCTGTTGAACATTTCCATAGTCTTAATATATTCTTTCTATTTTAAGTTTTCTATTTTAAAAATAGTTTAAAGCCCCTCTGAAAGAAGTAATGAAAATCATCTCCATGGCCTCTGTAGCCACAGGCCCTTTCGTGCTGTTTCGAGTCAGAGCAGGCAGACTTAAATTTGTTTGACCAAAACACGCTGGCATTTTTTGTTGGCATGTATTTTGAGGGGGTGCATAAGGGGAGTGACAGCCAAGTACTGATGTTTTTTCTTGATTTGTTCTTGTCTGGGAAGCGGGCATAATTTACATCTCTTTCATATTGGATGCATTAATAGCATTTAGTTGATTTGTAAAGGAATACTTTGAAAAGGAAAATTCTGCTTTTAAAATAGCCGTCATTCTTAATTTCTTTCCTTTTATGCTTTTCTTCATTCTGTGCACAACATTCTTGATTGTCTGTTTTGCAAGTAGATCATTGTATATGAAAGTTTTTATTATCACCCATTAACTTTGTTACAGTGGCAACAGAACTGTAAAAATTTACTACAGAGTTTTAGCTAGAGTCTGTGGCTTTGCATGTTCTTACTAAATTTTAGAAATGGAGCTGGTAAAGCCTACTCCATTTCTTCGAGATTCTCAGGAAAAAAAAAAAAAACGGAGTTGAAACTGTTTTACAATCTTCCCTTCCCCCCAAAAAATAAAACAAATAAAAATCCACTGTCGTTCGACTTTTCCCCATCTGATATGTAACTCATTTTCATTTTTCTGTTTGGGTGCCCATTGTTAGTTTACTGATGGACACATAGCAGATGATAATTTTGAACTGTTAGCTCTGCCCCTGTTGCTTTTCTTAAAAAAAAAAAAAAAACTCTGGAGACTGTGGATGTTCACATGTTCTCCTGGAGGATTGCAAAAGTAACATTCATTTATAACATTTGACAGATTATTCATGGAAAAATTATGCAAAGGAAAAAACAGTGAGATCCTTTGGGATATGTGTAAACTTTTCCAAATGTTCTTGCCACAGATCTCTAAACAGCACTCAGTTCATTCTGATGAAGTTGTCTCACATTTCCTAATGTAAACAAATTGTAATAATGTTTTAATATTTTTATACATTTTTTGTACATGTCAGCATAGGCTTGAAAATGATGCTGAGAAATAATGAAAACCAAACTAGCTCTTGTTCATGCCAGGTGACTGGAAAATCCGACGAAGAGTGCTTTGTCTCCATGAAAGGCAAAATAACAGAATAGCAATCATGGTAACAGTATGCACTAGGAGTGAAGCCAGGGGAGTAAAGAAGCAAGCTAGCAGTAGCAGATGACTTCACTTATTGGAAAAGAGGGGCAAAAGAACTCAATCTCGAGTGAATTTAAGTACTGGAATTTTGTTATCAGCAGTATCAGGCATAGTTCCCCCAGCTAATTGCTCAGCAGTCTGGTATGTTCATGAACATCACTTGATCTATGCAAGTTTCGTCAGTATTTTGCCACTTTGGTATCCCTTCTCAGCACAGGCTGTCTTACCCCTTTACAGAAATGAAGTCATCTCCCTTGTGCCCCATACTCACTGACATCCTCTGCACTGCAGGCTTCTTACAGAATTGACAGCAGAGTTTCTGTCCTATGAGAGCTCTGAACTTCGCAGCTGCCCGAATGCTGGTGCATTTGACAGCAGGAAAAGGCTAGAATAGATGGAAAGACTTTGTAAAGGTGTCTAGGCTTTGATTCTTTTTACTGTAGCTCTGTATATTTCCTCCTCTTGCCTTGGAGATGAAGATGCAGGGTTACGTGGAAAATGGTCACTCCAGGCAGAGTAATATCAGCATAAAATGATTTACTTCTGTTTTTATCTTGCCTCACAAAGCATATTTCTGTCTTCATCTAATCTCAGAAAACGTATCTTCTTCATAAGGATGTCTACTATTGACACATCACTAGGAATTAGAATGAGTTTATTATCTCTTTTCACAGGAATGATTCAAACAATCATAATTGCCATGTGGAATAGCAAGGAAACCAAGCTGGAACTGTTGCTTTAAGCTGTGAGACCCTTTTCCAAAAATTCATTCACTCTTTACACCTCTCACTTTAGCCAGGCAGCATTTTAACCTGATCTGAATTCTGTTATAACAGATTCTGTAATCTATCATCAGTCTGAGATATCAAGTACTTTTCAGCACCTTACACTGTTTTTGTTAGTTTGTTTTTTAATCCACTTTTCTGTTCTGAGGATGTCTGCTTAATGAAAGGCCTTGCTAAAATGGAGTAATAGTGATTATTCTTTAAATCTTTTTGTTTGTATTGTATTAATGTTAGTGTAAAATTCAACCTCTTGCTTCCTTAATGGAGGTTTAATTTCCAAGAGAAGGGACTGTAGAGTGGAAACTCTCAAAGAACTATTTCTCTTTGCAGACAACATCTGTTATTTTTATAGGTTTTTACAGAGGTAGCGTTTGAACCTATAAATACTTTAGAATACTTGCAGATAAATCCAACTAACTTGGATTTCATTCTGACCAGGTTGACTCAGTACAAGACTCATTTTTTTGCTGCTCTTTTTATAGGTTAAGTACTTGTGGTGCAATCTTGATGCTTTGTCTCCATGAGCATTGTCTTTGAATCAAAGAAATCCAAAGTGTTACTGATTTGAGCTCAGAGACTCACCATGGTGAGAAACTTAAACCCTTAAACACTAGAAGCTAGAACTAGAGTGTGCTAGAATACTAGAAATTTTAACTCAGTTATTTTGATATTTTGAACAGCTTCTGTGTGAAAAAGCACTGCATCATACTTTAAACATAAGTTCTCTGAAGCCACATATGCCAGTGACTCACTCTACTAGTTTCTCATAAAATCTCAGCAGTGTGATAAACAAATTGTAGCAAAGACAAGCAATTAGAAGCCCTCCTGCATGTCACTGTACCCAGGAAGAAGGTAGAAAACAGTATTTTAAACTATTTTCTCTTTTTGTTCTTCCACTAAATGGGTGATCCGATATATGATGGTAGTGAAGGTTCTTCTAATGAACTTTTGCTTTCTCTCTCTCTGTCTCTCTCTGTCTCTCTTTCTTTCTTGCTAGAAGTTTCATCTTGTCTTTGTTTTCACAATCCTTTACTTGTTAATTAAACAGTGTGATGGACGGTCTGATCAAATTCATACAACGTTATGTATAAGGATTTTCCTCCTACTGCCAGGAAACAACCTTTGTAATTCTTTCTAGTGGAGACTTGGCTCATAGTGACCTTCCTGAGCCTAGGCTGTAGCAAAATGAAAATCAAGTAATAGGGAATTTGTTCACAAAACTTGATGTAAATAGATTGCAGAGTGGGTATAGACAATAGAACACCTTACATCTGTTCAGTTGGGCTCTCTTTTTTTGGGGGGGTGGGTAGAGGGTAGGCTTGGTTTGGTTTGAGTTTCTTTTGCAGGACAAACTCATTACTTATCAGTTTGTATCCCATGAAGGTTCCTTCTCGTATCACATGAATGTTCAAGGCAGAAGCAGCTAATGCATATTTTCTGCTTTTGGAGAGGAAGGGAGCTGGAGACATAGCAGGTGCAGAATCATTTCTGGTACAGCTAGTTCACTAGCTGTCCAACTGTGCCCCATAATGTTCTTTCTACCATTGCTTATCACTAATTTGAGTCAACACTTCTGAATGGATTCAGGAGATAGCTCTGTATGTTTTTTTCATATCATGAAGGTTCCTGTCTCTGTTGAGCTCTTACAGGCAGTTTTAGATTAGAGGCTCAAAGTTGAATAGTTTAAGGTCCTTGGAGCCTGCAAGAAGTGGCTCCTGGAATGTGGAGGGCAGGGGGGTATTGATTTGCTGCTACTTGATTTGTACTAGGTCTGGAGAGGTGAGGCAGACAGCTGCTTTTTATGACCCATTTCTATCATAGTGTTAACATCACCATTAAATATTTATTTTTTTTCTATTGTGAAGTTAAGAATAGTTTTACATTTACTGAAGATGATGATAGACCATGTTGTTCATATTGCAGAGTTCATTGCCAGCCTTTTGCAAACAGCATCAAGGAACTGGAACGAGAACAGCTTGTCCATGTTTTCTGTGGGGCCTCATAAAATTTGTAAAATGAGAGGAAGAATAATTGCAGTGAGATATCCCTAAAGCTCATAGATGACTGAGAAATAATACATCTGTATAGCCATTAGAAACATGAAAAGCCCCTGCCTTCTCTTACATGCTTAAGCTGTGAGTCAGTATGAGCAAATTGTTTACAGTTGATGGGAGTTGTGAATAAAATTCAGAACATATGTATGTGCCCACACCCGAAATACAAACTAACTTTATGGCTCTGCGTATTACACTTCAGCATATCCAGCTGTTATATGAATGCCAACACATTTTTCTGTTAAGTTCATCCCTAAAAATATGTCTAAAGCTGTTTTGAAAATGTCTTCCAGACAGTTCAAGAAAATAAAGATGAATTTTTAACAGAGTGGATGGTGTAATTCCATTATGCAAGAGACACTTTTCAGAAATGGTGCCTTCTGGGTATCTGTAATAATTCATTTTAATCAATGTCTAAACAAAACAGATGGTGAAGTTTCTATTCTTCACTTCAGTGTTAATTGATCTCTCTTTTAGGTCCCTCTGAAGTGTCCACAATT